GGACAGGGCAGGTTTCCAAGCTAGCCAAGATGCAATTATGGAATTCCAATCAAATAACCATCTTAAGAATTATAGGCAAATTGTTTATCCGCCTTTGGGCTGAACTCAAGCCAAGAAGAGGAGCAGAAACGGACTGTGGTTCATGATGGCTTTTATTTTAAAGCTGCATTTTGGTTTTGGTTTTGGTTTTTATCGATCCCCTGCACTAACCTACTTGGTAGGGCATGTACCAGCTTATTATTGCTTTTAATTATTTTATTAACCTGCGATTACAGCCAGGTTAGTCACTCAATCGCAGGAGGTTTGTTCTGCCAAGGGTTCTGCTGAACAGATGGGAGAGCCCGAAGCGGGTGACCCTCCTCCTCTTGGGTTGAGGGCACCCCAGGCAGAGCTTCAATCGTTCTGCCGCAGCTGCCATCTTGCCTTTTTTGACCTGCAGATCCCCCGGTTGAAAGAGACCTTGCTTTATTTGCACGCAGAGCTTCCCTGAGCGGAGAAAGAAGGGCAAGTAGCCCGCAGCGTTAAAAAGCATTAAAGGAAGACATGGATCAGCAGAACAAAAGGCCAGCGCCACATGCAGGAACGGTGCACCAGCCAAACTTTATTGGGAAAACGCCAAAGCAGAAGGCACAGCCGAGGCCCGGCGAGCTCTGGGGCGCCCGAGGGCAGCATGCAGGGGTCAGAGTTGCGCGGTGACAAAGACCCAGAGCTTGGCCAGGGAGGTGCTGACCCTTCCGTGGCGGGACAGCTGCATCTGGATGCTCACGAGGAGGTCTCGGGGCTCTGGGATGGGCCGCCGCAAAGACACGACGCCCCGGTGGCCGTCCACCTTCCTCACCGCGAAAAAGCCCTCCTCGTTCCCGCTCAGGATGGCGAAGTGAAGGTGGTCCCCGGCAACGGCATTGGACGGGCCCATGCGGAAAATGTCAAGGGGGGCCTGGAGGTTGGTGGGGAAAGAGAGGTGGTAGGAAGTGATTCGCGCGGGCAGCAGCTGGCATTCCTTACTCTCATG